CTTGACTAGGTTAAATTTTCAAATAACTTGAAGTAGATATGCACTCTCAACCTTTGCCAAGAAAATGTGAATTTGAATTTTAGGAATTTTTTTATACAGTGATTTTAAAGAGTTATATATTCTGATTGAAAGCTTGGTAAAATATAATGGGAAGCTTCTTGTGCATCTACTCAATTAAACTAAAAATTGATTCAGTCACTTTATTTTAATTAATTTTTTTATGGGCACTTTACTTTAATTGATTTAATCAGAAGTTGATTTTTTTAAATTTTTTATTAAAGTTTAATATACAATATTTGTTTTGATTTAACTTATTTATTTAAATTTGAGAATATCTTTATTTTGTTTGGGATGGCTTTTGGTTTTCTATTTTGAAAACTTCAAAAACTAAATTTTGTAGTTTTGAGCTTTAAGATTTAGTTCTAAATTTCACCTCTAAGTTAAGGTTTATTTATTTTATAACTTAAAAACTTTATTTATCTTATCTCACTATGAATCCATTCAATATAAAATAATTAAAAATAACATTTTTTCTATAAAAGCCATCATTTTTAATACCACGTACTTGCAAGTATCGTTTGAACCATGAAACAATTATTGAGAGAACTATCTTAATAATCTTGATGGTTTCCACAAATACTAATATTAAAAGATATAAGTTTTTTTTATAAAAAAAAATCAAAAAATAGCATGAGTAAAATATCATAAATTTCAACTTATTTATTTAGTAATAATTTTAATGACATTGGTTGAAAGTGATGGCTGATGGTGGTCGAATTGATGATCAAAGTAGTGATTGATGATGGTTAATTAGAGTGATAATGGTCAAATTGATAGTTAATGGTGGTTGAATTGGTAATCAAAGTTATGGTTGACGATGGTCAAAATGATAATGGTCAAAATTGTAGTTGATGGTGGTTGGATTGGCGATTGATACATTGTTAGAAAGTCAACTAGTTAGTAACAAAAAAGCAAATAAAAACGTAAATGTCAACAACAAACACAGTATTTTGTTTAAGCAATTCGACTATATGTCTACATCTACGACTATAGAGTAATTGTAGTTATGTGTTATTACTTCAATGAATTAGGGTTTTAGTGTTACAAATGATATATATACTACCATAATTCGTATTCAACAATTTCCACTTAGGTAAATATCCAAATAATATGAAAATTCTTTTCATGTTATCCACATCCTTACAATAGGAGGTATAATATTTGCTTAACATTGAGAGATATGTAACAAGTTCAATCAATGTTTGAACTTATTATTGATGACTGACTTGATCAACAAACGAACTACATTCTCTAAAGTATGAACTTTTTTCAATTAATTTTTGTATAAATGCAAATAACTCTATGATATTGTGAAATCTCACATTAATATGGTTGGTCCTTGCGTGGTACACCTAATTATTTTCCTAATAATGATAATATGATTATCACAATGCAACTCAACTCCTCCTTGTTTAGCACTCATTTCCCTAATCAATCATGTAACCCATAAGATCTCTTTGGCAGCCTCAGATACTCTTATGTACTCTGATTCAATTGTAGATAAAACCATTATGGATTGAATTGTCAATTCCTAGCAAATAAGTCCACCTACAAGAGTAAATACATATCATGTTGTAGACCTTATATCATTTATATCACATGCATAATATGAATCAATATATCCTACAAATGAAGGAACACATTCTCCACTACTAAACATATTACCATGATATATAGTACCTTTCAAGTACCTGAAAATCTATTTGAATGCTTTCTAATAAATTTACCTGATTTAGACATAAACATGCAAGCTCGACTTACACCTTATGCCAAATTTGATCTAGTGCAAACAATTACATGCATTAAACAATCAACAATAAAGAACCTTTGACACATACTCAACGTATGCATATGTTTTTGGACATTGATTCAATAAGAGTTTAAAGTGATTCACCAATGAAGTACTCATAGCCTTCGAATTACTCGTGTCAAGTATGTTCAAAAACTTTTTAACATAGTTTTATGAGACAACCATAACTTTCTAGAACTCTTATTCGTGTGAGTTTTCATCCCAAAAATATTCTTAGTCGCGCATAAGCTTTTCATGTCAAACTCTTTTCCCAATAATATTTCAAGTTTATTTATATTATATAGAGGATAACATATAGTAATAGGAGAATAGAAAACCATCATCCAAGCTTTTAACATAAACACAACAATTATACTCACACCTAACGTAATCAATTTGAAATATGTATGAATCAAAGTGTTTATGTCACTACCTTAGAGATTGATTTAAACCATACAAATATCTCTTCAACTTACAAATTGTTCTACCTTATCCAGTATCACTGAAACCCTCTAGACGCTCCATATCAATTACTTAACTGGATTATTGTTAGGAAATGTCATCTTCAGATTCATGTGTTCTAAATATATGTCTCGATTGACTACCAAAACTAACACTGCACAATTAAAAGTATGTTTGATAACCATAACAAATATTTATTCATAGCTAGTCATCTTCTATTCTGAATATCCCTTTGCTACAAGATGACCCTTACAATTTTCTTTCTTTTTTGTTATTTATTGTTTTCTCTTATACACCCACTTGCAACTAATAACTTTTTTCCTTAGAATTCTAAACAAGCTCGTATGTCTAGTTTTTCTTCAACGACTCCATATCTTTCACCATTACACCATGAATTTATCATTCGCATAGCTAGATATAACTTCTCGAAAGATGGATGGATCTCCAAAATTAATACGAAATCCATAAGTTGATGAGTCTTCATATTCATATCTTTTTGGTAGCTTGATCTAACATTAAATTTTGTAAAAAATAAGAGAATTATCATGTGCTTAATTTGAATCTCCAGACCCACGATGAATTTCAACATCATAATTTGGTTTGACTTATGGTTCACGTACTATCTGCATATTTCTCACCAACAGTGGATCAATATCCATACGAATCACGTCATTATTGAAAGTTTTCCCAAACAACATCTCTATTAATAACCATCTCTTTGAAACTAGATCCCACAATTTGAACCTTGTCACATCTTTTGTGTAACCGATGAAGACATACTTTTTCGACTTTGGATTAAGTTTGGACTGATCCTCATTGAATATATGTACATATGTTAGACACTAAAAAATCTATAAGTTCTCAAGATTAATATGCTTACATGTCCATACCTCTTCCGCGACTATCATATCCAAAGAAGCACATGGTGACCCATTGATAAAATAATATGCCATGTTAATAGCCTCTGCCAAGAAACTCTTCGAGAGTCCATCATTCAACTAGAGACATCTACCATTTCAGTTAGAGACAAGTTCATTCTTTCTACCATACCATTTTGTTGTGGTGACTTTCGAACTAAATATCTGAATACTCTATTTTGCACTTCTTTTTTTAAGTTTGAATGAGTGTACTTTGTCTCATTATCTAAAAGAAAATACTTGATATTTTTGTTTGTTCGATTCTCTACATCTTTTATCCACAACTTGAACTTAGTAAGACTTCAGATTTTTACTTCAAGAAATGTATTCAAACCTTCAGAGAAAAATGATCAACGAAGATCACAAAATACCTTAACTTTTTTCCAGACAGACTTCTACACATCAGAATGCACATAATTTATGATTCTCTATTTTTTTTTTCATGTTTTAAACAGAACACGTCATTGTTTCTTAAATATATAATACTTACATAAATCAATCTTGCAATACCTTAAATAAATTTCTCTTATGAAATTTCAACATGCTACACTCAACTGTGATGAAACACAAAGTAGCAGTTGACAATGAGAGGAAGTCTTGCATGGGCACAAAAGTTTGAACACAAAAATTAGGCACACACTCGTAAAAGAAAGCGATAGAAAATAAAAATAATTAGATAATGCATATTTTTATAATACTTAAATGATATTTACTTTTACGTATGTGTGTCTAAATGATGATTTGTTGGACTTGTGACCAAGCTAGCATTTCTCTGACAATGGTCAGAAAATTGGTGGTCAAAGATGAATCTGGGTGATTAAAGCTACTATCTGGTGGTCTATGGTGATAAAAATAATGGTAGGTGATGTTACATCGAAGGTCTAGAGGAAGTCTTGCATGGACACAAAATTTAGACACACACTCATAAAAGAAAAAAATAGAAAATAATTAAATAATATATATTTTATAATATTTAAATAATATATATTTTTATATGTGTGTGTCCAAATGATGATTTGTTGGACTTGTGACTAAACTAACATTTCTAAGAGGTCTAAATTGATCGTATAGGTGGTTAGTGATGGTTGGAGTGGTGACATGTTTAAGTTGAAACAAAAAATATGAAATCTATTTATGGTTTTAAAATTCAAGTTGAATATTTTTTTCAAATTAATTTAAAAATAAGTTTAGCTATATTCTATTTGATAGTGTTTTGTTTTTAAGTTTAATTTTAAAAATAAAAAACAAAAGAACTAAACAGTCTCTAAACTAATTTAAATTTCAGTTTTAATATCTATATTAGATATTTTTAAATTCAATAGACACGTTTGTAATAAAAAGGGTCTAGCAAAATTTCTCTGTATATTATTAGTATTGTATGAAGTCGTTATCCTCTAAGTTAAGAATGAACAAAAATTTTGGATAAACAACTTTTCGATTTCATCTTCACCTATAAATTAAGAATGAACATAATTTATAGATAAACAACTTATTTTAGTTTATAGCACAAGCCTTTTTCATCTATAAGTTTATCTAGTAAAAGGTTTATTTAAAAATTATGTTCATTTTTAACTTATATTAATATATAAGAGATAAACTCAAATAAATTAATTTAAATAGTCTCGAAAAACATTAACAATAGTAATCATGAATAACCAAAACTCTTTTGAATATGAAGATTATACAAACTACATGATAAGAATTAAGAACTAGAGAATGAAATAAAAGAACAACATTGATATTTAGTTGATAATAATAATGAACTAGATTAATCATGGACTATAGAAAGAAGGACCACACTTGCATTTCCAACTCTCAGGCTCATAATTTGCATACATAATCCCCAAATGATTACTTGTGCTTGGAACTTGAATAGCTTCACATGGATAACAATCATAGCATTTGTGCTCACAATTTGGTGGACTTGACCCTATTTTACTCACTCCTCTATCATTTTCTTCCACCCTTTTCTTTCTCATTCCTTCTCTTCCCATTATACCCTTCAACTAAAAACACAAACATTAACATTAACATTAACTCAATCAAACAACATAAAACATAAACATAAACACAATCAAACAACATAAAAAATAAGCATACCTTTTTTGATTCAATGGTATAAGGTGGTGAAGATAGTGGACCCTTTTCTTGAGGTGAATGTGAAATGCCATGAGATGAAAGAAATGGCCTCTTTGCAAACAAACTCACTATATGGAGAGTTAGAATAAAACAAAAGAAGAATCTTCTCTTCATTTTTCTTCAAGAGAATGAACAAAATGATGAATGTGATGATGATGTGTGAGAGAGGTTTTGTAATATATATGGAAAGGCTAGAGAAAGGGTACCAAATGAGTTTTGAAGATGCAAATCCCAAAAAACAGGCCAGGACCCCCAAACATTCCAAGGCTACTGTTTAAAACCTTTGCTTTGGCCGAGAGATTTTGATTCACAAGCAAATGATTTTTTGGTTTCTTGTCAAACAGTTATAAACCTCAGCAAATTTTTTCACCCCTCATTTGACAACTCACTAGGTACTACAAAAAGTCTAGTCTTTTTTCACTGTCATTATTTATATACACCAAACCTTGGGATTTGGTTTCTTAGCAGCATGATGAGTCAGCCACATTTGAACCGTCCCACAAAACGTTTTAAGTTTTCAAATACTCTATCTAGGTTAGCCATGATTTAATTGTGTCAAAATAAAAAGATCTTATTTTGCCAGTGTTTAAACATGACATTATTTTATAAGACACTATTTGACTATGTCAATTTTTAGATAATGTAGGATAGTCTGTCTTACACAACGTCAAATACACTAATATCGTCCGATCAAAATTCAACGATTTAGATGTGATTAACTGTGTACAATTCGAATAGTAACAGTGGATAAATTGTCTTTCTATACAAGCCAAAATTAGCTTTCTTTTTCAAATCAATTTAAAGTGGAAGTACTATATATGGTGGTCCATAAAATCAGAATAACAGCACCTTTTTTGAGTCTGATTTGTCAGAAAAACCTGCAACACCTCTATAATTATATCTGATTATCAGATTTTTTTTCTTCTTTTTCTTTGAAAAAAGATAAAATATTTGATACTGTACATGATATACTATAGTGTATACACTTATACTACCTTTCCTTTTTTCTGATGCTTCATTACCATATAAGGAAGAAAGAACTTCAAGGACATAGAAAAAAGCATCAGTTCTGAAGGAAAATATATATTTTTATTTAATGAGTTTGTTAATGAATTAAATAAGGTACTATTCTTAACTTTCTTAAGGTTGGTTGTTGAAGAATAGTATGCAAATTTCATCACTAACTTCCAATATGGACTATTCCTTTACTAGTTGGTATTAAATTTGTGTGTGTGTTCTCTTTTGTTGGATAGTTTACCATATTTAATGAGAGGACCATGTTGTGGTTGCATCATTTATTGTGGTTCTTGTGGCACAAATGATGAAAGTGGAACTAACAGGCATGCGCAATTTGAGGTTGTTATACATAAGGGATTAGTTTGACTATAGGAGTAATAGGAGAATTTGTAATGAAAAGAGTAATACAAAAAGAGATAATATCTTTATTTTTCAAAAAATTATTATGAAGAGTTTGTGCATTTAGATGTAATCAAGTAGTTAATGAACTTCACTTAAAGATCAATTGTTCGGAAGATTCTTGGTTCAAATTCTGATCGAAAATGTTTTGCTTGGGAATTAGAAATGCTTGAAAAAATTATGGAGTAAAATCTTCATGCAACGGATAATACATCAAATTTCACATGGATATGCCTTATATACGAAGGATGGTTATTGACGTCCCTTTCTTTCGGGCATGGAATGTGGGAGGCTGCCCATGACATTTAATGGTGGGCAATAATCCATAGCGTGGATCCAGTGTGAGACTCCAGAGTAGGATTGCTCTACACCTTCAATGTTTTGGTAGAGTGACTTTAGACCGATGACTTTCACTCTCTCTCTTTTAGATGTGTGGCCGGCTTAGAACAAAAACAATCATTAATTTGGTTTTACTTACATCTATTCGAATTTTAAATCATCAGTGTCCCTCTTAGAACCAAGGGTTAAGGCCTAACAATAATGCTTTAGACATATCTTGATTTCTAAAAAAATAAATAACGAAGGATTCAATTAGAGCGACTGAACCAAGAAGATCTTAGTAATTGATATCGTGATGGAGGGTCGAGAGTATCTATTGCACATCAAGAACTGATTTTTAAATTAAAGACAACACTATTTATTCTGACTATATTTTTAATCTACCTAAAACTTGATATTTTATCGACTATATAGAAGTTCAAATTTGGTGTATTTGCCAATAGCATATTTTTGGTTGTGTTTTAAAAGCTGTTCAATTTTATTATCTCATTGTACAAGTTAATTAGGCATTATAAAGTAAGAAATTGTGCACTGCAATAGACTGCAGCCAGGTCATTTTTATGTGATAACAAACATTTCACAAAGATAGACAATAGATAAACTTGGTGATGTTGTATAAAGGTTAGTCAAAATGACACAAAACAAGTCATCAATCAGTCATGTTATAAAGGCAAACCAGGGAGAAAAAGGTACAAGTAAAACAAACTATTAACCTATAAATACACTCTTTCTTAACATGGGGGTACACCATTGTCTCAGAATTATTTACTTATAGTGCAGCTTTATGATTTGAGTAAAAGGATCTTTCATTCATATTGATATGTTGTTGATGTGCTATGTAGTCAAGGAAGAACCTGCTGATGTTACCTACCTACTAAGCTATGATAAGTTTTTTTTTTTTTTTGCTAAAAAGGTGATTCAAAAAGTTGCCTAGTAATGGGTTAGAGTTTAGGGCCGCTGAAAAGAAGTTATGATAAGAAAGACATTGAGGGAGAAAAATAGTGTGTGTTATAGGTTGGATTTTGTGCATGAATGTTTGGTCTTTGTGGTGACGTTAACTTGGAAATAAAATTACAAATGATGGATTTCAATTTGGTTTGTGTCTTGAAGACAAATCAACTCAACTTGGGTGCCGTTTTTCTAGTTTCTTGGTGTTTGCTTCTAAGTTGTCTAAAAAGGTTTCCTTTCTCTTGTGCTATGTATTTTTTGAAAAATAAAAAATTGATTAGAAGTTAACACTCTGTGTTTGTTAATAAACATATTAGAATATGATCCGGACCGTAGACCGTAATTATCGAAGTTGAAGTTGACAGTTGTGACGTTTTTCAACAAAGCGATCGAGTTATCTACGTATACTCTAACATATAAGTCTATAAAAATTTGAAAATACTTTTTCAGCGGAAGTAATTGTGTTTGAGCAGTCATTGAACATTAAACGTTGGAGCTTTGTAAAGAGGTGGCAAATGAGCATATGTCCATTCCGCCAAAATTTGCAAAAATTAGGGTGAGGCAGGACGAACATTGTTTGAAGGTGCGGATCTAAAAACCTTAATATGTCTCACAAAAATTTGAGTGCGGGACAGGGCAGACCCGCAAATGCCACACATTTTTAACCTAAAAATGACAAACCCCGCAAAAACCCCCAAAAAATAAAACGGAGCAGAACAAACATATTAGATAGTACAGACTTACAATTTTAGTCCGCCCCACAAAAAATGCGAACAAAACGGGGGCATGCCCGACAGGATGGGCCCTTTTGCCACCTCTTTTGTCGTACATTTAAGTATTAGAGTTCAATGTAGTTAAACATCCATATTAGTAACATATAACTGAATATCAAATTTTATATCAAGCCATGTGGAGATAAATATGTTCTAACAAATTAACTACCAATTAAGCAGAGGAAACATACTTGGAAAGTTTTAAATTGTTGATGAAGAAACAGATCAGACTCTACACAGAACTTTAACATTGATAACGAAACCGTTCAAAATCCATAGAAAAGAAGAATACTTTACTGTTCATACCTAAAGGAAACATTCACAGAAGAAGAAAAAAAACAGACAAAGTAAACATAGTAGTTTTGATGGTTAACATTATTGAGAGTACAAGGCTGATAGATACTCTGTTACAAAATTTAAAGGTACATCCTTTCTAGCTAATAGCTATGATTACTTTGATGGAGAGTCTTTAGTGTCAGATTCTTTCTTGGGATGAATGGCTTCAACTACAGCTTCAATCTCCTCCTTCATCCTTCCAAACACATTCGGAGCTTTCACTTCTTCAACAGAAGTTCGCTCATCGATGTCATCATTTCTCCCATGTGTTTCTTTGTGGTGGCGAGGCGATTTGGCATGTTTGAAAACTGCTTCAATTTCCTCCTTAGCTCGATCAAGAATGTTTGGACCTTTCACATCATTTTCTTTCAAATGAAACCAAAGAATATACAAAAAGAGTTTAGGAGTTTAAAACAAATCATTTATATAGAATGAATTGGCATAACATATATATTTAGAATGGCGGAGAGCCAAAATCCCACCATACCAAACGCTTTGAGGCGCCGTCATAACTGATAATGGCGGAAAAACCTGCAATATCGACCATTGCAGCTAGCCCAAAAACCGCCACGTATATCCGCCATAGCGTCGCAATTGCGGATATTTGATAACACTGACTAGTACAATAACTATTTCCCATATACACCTAAAACCATTAATTACTTATCATGTTTTTTCTAATGAATATCAACATGTTCTTCTTTGGAGATAGTATGGGTTTTTTTCCCTCCTTGATTCACATGTTTTTCACAGGATTTGTATAGCATTTGAATCAAAGACCTCCCAATTCAACGTCATATTGCAGACCACCAAGTGCGTGTTTGGATTGAAGTGAATTTAACAAATACATATCAACATGGTTTTGACGAAAGCTACACTTTTAAACTCCAACATAATTAAAGTGTGCCGTCGGTATGGTCTAACCAAACTGCAATGTCAAATTTGTTAGGCAGAACATTTTCTATAATTACACGGGTTCAAAACTCCGGATCTCCCCGTTTCAAATTTGTCACTGTATCTACAAACCAACCATAGTTTGTCTAGCTCACCATCAATCCAAACAAGCAACTTAAGATAAGATACATAAGAAATCAAATAACCTCGACACCCTTATATCAAATAGCAGCGCTAAAGCGAAGCGTAACCGAATTTAAACCGATTGCTATTGTTTCACATCAAACTATTATAAACTATTTAATACAAAATACTGTCAATTTAGCATTGTTAATTGCTATGTCACTATTGTGTAGCAGAATTTGACCATAGCTTCAAACCTTATTGTCTCCATTGTACCCAAAATAACACAAACAAAAAAGAAAAGAACTTTTAGCAATGGAAAAGCAGAAAAACTCATAAAAATCCAAAAACAAAAGCCATAAATGAATTATTCTACATGATTTTTATATGGGTGATTAACACATAGGAATATCTGAAATTACCCTCTTCCCTCAAAATTTTCTCTATCAAATATTTCTTTCTCTCTTCATCATCATAACTAAGACCATACTTAAAAGGGTATTATTATTATTATTATCGCTTTATGATAAATTTCAACAACAACATTAAATTAATCAATTGAAACCAAGGCAACAAAATCAGAATCAAGAATAATAGGAAAATTATCGGTAAAACAGAACATACGAAGAGATGATGATGATGATGATGATACCTGAAAGCGAACCTTTTGGTTTGGGTTCCGTTTCTGCCATTGAATTGATCAAAACAACGCTTGAGTTTGAGGTTACAAAAAAAGGATGTATTTTTTGTAGTTCCGTTTTTACTCTTCTTACCATATAACCCATTGGTTGCTATTTTCTTCACTTGTTTTTTTTTTTCTTTCCATAGTTTTTTTGTAATAAAAAATGCAGGTGCTATAGATTGTGATTCGTTGATATCCTAATCTCCAAAAGTGTTATCTGATAAATAAATTAATGAGGGTGGAGCAAAACCAAACTCATAAAGTGCACAAAAATAATAATTAGGCAAACTAAAATGTGATTAATTGTCATTCATGTATAAAAAGTTTTACATCAGTGTATACATAAATATTATTTTATTAATAATTAAAATATAAGTCAAAATTAGGCATAATAACAAAATGGATTGGGAATAAATTTTACCTCTTTAAATTCAAATCTGAATCTCTAAACAATCTTCGTTCTCTACTCCAAATTCAAATGAAAATGGTGAATTAAAATCTAAGCTTATTTGAATTCGAATATCCCCGTCCTGCCACCATCCATTTAATAAATTCAGTTTTTTAATAAAAATATTTATTTTTTCCAAAATAAAATTACATTTTATAAATAATAAATTAAAATAATATCACAAAATTTTACATATACATTTCAAATATTTTAAATAATAAATACAAATCAAATTATCAAAATATAATCCATATTTGATATTATAAATTATAAAAATAAATAATAATATATATAATGAAATAAACTGGACGGATTCGGGGTGGGTACTAGTGTTCCCATTACCCGACCCGTCCCTATATTTTATAATCGAAGAAATTTCAAACTCAATCAAAAAAGATTTTTCCGTCAACTTCAGAGCAGGTTCAGGTGAATACCAGCGGATATGAGTTTTGTTGCCATACTTAATCAAAACTAATTTAAGATCTAACCGTTAACATTTAATGACGTCATATGTAAAACTTCTTTATACTATCGGTAAATTCCAATTAAATTCAACTAAAATTATCTTTTGAAAAGAACTTTTCTAGAATAAGTAGGCTAGTTATCCTATCAAATTAACATTAACAATCAAGAAAAGAAATTTATACTTTCTAACTTATTATCACATGAATCTGATCGGATTCCAAATAGTTTCTCCTCAAGTTTTAGTAACGAAATTAGGTGATGACTTGAGTTTGGTATCATGCATTAATATGTAGTTGATGAAATTTTTATTTGGGGTCACACTTAAATATAAAAGATTATTTTTGGTAGGACCATAATTGGTTGTCATGGCGTCCATTTTTCTCGAGACAGTAGATGATTGATTTGGAGTCTCTTATTGGGGGACTATCATCAACTAAGATTGTCGTGTCCTGTTGTAGATTGGTCATATGGCATAGTTGACTTTATGATCATATTCGGTTTATATTTAATATATTTTACACTCATATTGACATCTTAAAGGAGGTGTAACTTTTGAAGGTTCTGTTTTGATTTTTTTTCTTCATATTTGGTATTGATATCCCAACATTTCTAATAACTACTCATTGACCAAAATGTAAATGTTCTCGTCTTTGATCCCAAGGAAGAATTCTCAAATTGAGATCGAGGTAATGTCATTAACCTTACCGACTTGGTGGCTAGATAAGAAGTAGATGTACCAAAGAAGTTGAGGGTCAGAGTTATCACTCAATCAAACATGAGAACTTAAATGAGGAGTATAACTTGTTGAGGTAGAGGGCCAGAATTATCACTTAACCACGTTTAGGAGTCTGAAGGGAAAATCTAGCTGGCTGAAGTTAAGGGTCAAAATTCTCACTCACCTAAGCATAAAAGCTTGAATGAGCAATCAAACTTGCTAAATTAGAGGATGAAATTATCTCTCAGCCAAGCATAAGAGCTTTGAAGAGGAGGAGGGTGTCTCACGAAATTAAGAGATAGATGGGAGGACTTTATCTTCACAAAATTAAGTATAGTTGAAATGCTAGTTACTGGTTCATTCAAATTAAAGTAATTGTCACTTATCTTAGCCATTGGACACTGACTTGTCGGAATGTGTGAAGTCATTTTGTTCAAGGGTCGAAGTTGTATGATCCTGGTTAGAGGGCTAGGTGGATTCTAGCATCTTAAATGGGATAAGATCCTCTCATATGGCTGAAGGAAGACATCATTATCATAAAGGGATTGAGGTCCTCTCACCCTTGTTGAAGGGCCAAGTGAGGCATAACTTCGATGAAGTTTCGACACTATCTTGATAAAAGGGCCAACGTACTCTCATCATGTTGAAAGGTCATGTAGGGCCTAACATCAATGAAAGTTGAGGTCGTCTTCATTAGAAGTCGAGGTTGGATTTCATTTGGTATGTCTTTAGAAAACAATAATATATGTTTTATGAGGGTTCATTCATTCTTGCTTCATATGTATACTCATTCTTGCTTCATATGTATACTTAGTAGGCATATGATTCAACTTCCTTTATGAAGCATGCTCAAACAATAAGAAACATTGGCTATAATCAATTACATATATTTTGTATTCATTGTGTGACTCTATGAAGAAGTCTGATTTTGACCAACACTTAAATAATAGTCATGTTAAAATAAAAATAAAAAAATATGTTGCACTTATATTTTAGGTATGTGGCATTTTATTTAACTTTTTCCTACTTAGGTGACCTTTCGCTCCTTTTACAATTTTAACTATCGGCCTCACACTTTCAATGTTGAACTCACATTAAAAGGTAACTTTCTCGTAATGTGTTATGGAAGATGAGTTAGTAATAGGGTGATTCCCATTGTCATCATCATGCAATGTAATTATTGTTGTCTCTTGAGGTTAAAGCTTGAGTGTTAATGCATGCAATGTGCACCTCAATAGATTATATGTTCTTTTTTATGTTAGAACAACTTTGTTATCATGCAATCATGATCAAAGTTGTGAAACAAGACTAGCATTAAAATATTCTTCATGTTATTCTCATATGTAGGCATAACATGTTTAGACATGGACAACAATGTATGAAAGTGTTAGAACAGAAACGCGAATATAAATAAGAGTAGAGAGAAATACACAAAAGTTTTGTTCACGTAGTCCGGTCAAATTACATACATATGAGACTATAGAGTAGCTATAATTCCCTTTATTTATGTCTTGTGAATTGCATATCAATTACAGTGTTACAATCCACATATATAATACGAGGTTTTAGATTATCTAAAATCCAAATCCCTAGTTTCCCTCAACAAACAGTTATCTCTACCCATAATTATCTTAACAATAGTAACTATTATCTCAACAACCTATAGTTATCTCAATAACCCATAATCATCTCAATAATATGAGTTATACTCTCAACAACTCATTTATCTCAACAACCCATAACCATCTTAACAATATGAACCATATTCAACAATCTCCACCTTGGCGAATATGAAACTCCTATGAAGACTTCTTGCATTACGATTCGTCCTAGAAACTAGGGATGTACATCTCTTGCTTAACACTGAGAAACATGTAACAAGTCCAAACAATTTTTGAACTTGTCACTGGTGACTGGCTTGGTCAATATATCAGTTGCATTATCTGAAGTGTGAACCTTCTAAAGTAATATTTGTCTGGACGCCAACAACTCCCTGATCTTGTGGGACATCACATTAATATGTTTGGTCCTAGCATGATACACATGATTGTTCGCTAAGTAGATAACACTCTAACTATCACAATGCAACTAAACTCCACCTTACTTAACACCCAACTCTTTCACTAACCCTGTAAGCCGCAATGCTTCTTTGGCAGCTTCAACTACTATCATGTGTTCTGCCTCAGTTATAGACATAACTACTATGGATTGAACTGATGATTTATAGCATATAGGTCTCCCCGGAAGAGTAAATACATACCTTATTGTAGACCACCTATCATCCAGGTCACCTGCATAGTCAGAATCCACATATCCCACAACTGATGGAACACCCTGCTCCATGCTAAGCATGATACTACGATCCGTTATAGCCCTAAAGTACCTTAGGTTCCACTTGACTACTTTCTAATGTTTCTTCCCTGGCTTGGACATGAACTTGCACACTTGACTAACTACTTGTGCAAAATCCGGTCTAGTGAAAACCATAACATACAACAAAGAACCAACTAAACTAGCATAAGGAATATTAGACATATATTTAATCTCTGAGTATGTATTTTGACATTGTTTCAAGGAGAGCTTAAAATGATTCTCCAATGGAGTACTCAGAGGCTTTTCTTTGCTCGTGTCAAAGCTGCTCAAAACACCTTCAACGTAGCTTTTCTGAGACAACCATAATTTATTAGCTCACTGTCCCTGTGACTTTCCATCCCAAGAATCTTCTTTGAAGCATCCAGATCCTTCATATCAAACTCCTTACCCAACTTGGTCTTCAAATCATTTACATCATGAAAATGCTTGGCAGCAACCAACATATCATCAACATAAAGTAACAAGAAAATAAAAGAACCATCATCAAGGCTCCTCACATAAACACAACAATTGTAATCACATCTTCTATAGCCAATCTGGAGCATGTATGAATCAAAGCGCTTGTACCATTGCCTTGAAGATTGCTTCAAGCCATACAAAGACCTCTTCAATTTACAAACAAGTATGCCATGTCCAATATCACTCAATTCCTCTGACTGCTCCATGTAGATTTTCTCATCTAGATTACTATGGAGGAAAGTTGTTTTCACATCCATTTTCTCTAAATACACATCCCTCATGGCTACCAGGGCCAATACTTCTCTGATAGAAGTGTGTCTAATGATCAAACTGAAAAATCTCATCATAATCAACCCCTTCTACTGTGAATACCCCTTTGCAACTAGATGAGCCTTGAACTTTCCCCCTTCTTTTTCTGTTACTGCTGGATTTTTCTTGTACACCCACTTGCAACCAATTGCTCTCTTTCCCTGTGACAGCTGAACAAGATCCCATTATTTTTCGAGGACTTCACCTCCTCAACCATAGCACCCATCCATTTATCTTTCTC